AAAAAATTTTGTTAAGCATTAACTACAATGATCATTAGAGACGATTAAATTTTACAAATGTTGGTAGTCCAAATTAAAAAAAATAATAATAAATCTGAGTGTTCAGTGCTATAATTTATTTATTTTTTCTCTATTAATTAAAGTAACTCAATATTTGATGGGGTAAAACAATTTTGCCTCTTATTTCCTAATAAGATTAATATGTAATATTTTTTACAAGCCAAGGAAAGAGATTTTTGGATTCACTCAATATATTTTTTGTTGGATTAATTCAATAAATTTATTTAAATCGTATCTAACGAATTTATTAAAAATTATTTTGTTACATTTCCAAGCAAATTCAAAACTCAAACAATCTATATATTCCACTTGAGTTAATATCCATTGATTATATTATTTTATGACAAGCCATCAAGGAAGAAAAATTAATTAAGCAGCTAGCAAATGAGGGAACTATATGTATCCTCCATTTTTTTTTCCATGTTTCATGCAAGTTGGCTCCAGCGATAGAAGCAGGAAAACATGCTTTTTCTATTTGTACAAAAAAAAAAAATCAATAAATCAATTTAAAAATAAACTTAGAATTAATTATTCCCTTTTTCTAAAATATATATAAATAGTAAATATCATTCACCTTTTATCAAACCCGATGACATTTTTATCTTCAAAATTTGCTTGGGTCACCCATTTTTAAGGAAACTTTCCAAAAGATTGAGAAAACAAAAATTAAAATTGCCTTCCCATTTGCATAAAAATAATAAAAAAGCAACCGTTTTATATGTTTTCATTAACCCTTTTTGTTGTCACTCTGATATAGTCAAAGTTATTGAATAATTATTATTAAACTATGAGTTATCCTCGAATTATTACATAATTTTTTGAATTTAAATATATATATTAACAAACTATATTAATAAGTATCAATAAATTTTTTATTGTTAAATAAATATTAATTTTTTTATAAGAATTATGCTCTCCTCGAAAAAAAAATGGTGGTATAGGTAGGATTTTCCTTCCGCAAATCATTACTAATTTACACAAAATCTTATTGGAAACCGACATACTTATGAATCGAATATAGTTAATGGCATGAAAGTTTTCAAATTTAGGTCAAATGCTACTAATTATGTTTATTGAAAAGTGCATTCGGCACAAACACACAAAAAAAAAAGGTAAAACCAAATAATAGAAAGTTTTTTTTTTTTTTCTGATCTAACAGCTTCAATTAGACTAACCTTATCTAATTTAAGGAAGAGTAATTACAATTATAAAGGATAAAATAATCTTTATGTTCATTGTTTCAGTTTGAATAAACCCTAATTCAGTTCATATAAATCTATCAAATTAGGAGACTATAATATACATTATTCCTGTAAATATTTTTATGTGTTTGCGTCCGTGTGTCACGTGGCTATGCTCTTCTCGTAAAATCAGTTTATTGCAATATGTAACAATCACATTTATATACCCAAAATACTTTTTTTTATCTATTTCTTTGTATAGTTTTATGTGTTTGCATCCGTGTGTCATATGATTATACTATTCTTGTAAAATTCATTTATTACAACATGAAAGGCTTACATTTATGTATTTAAAAACTTTTTTTATCCGATGTGAAATTGAATCACCTTACATATTCTCTTTAGGGTGCTCCGCACGACACATGCATGCATATAATAAATAAAATAACAAAAACAAGTAGAAAATGGAAAATGTTAGTGTCACGAGTCGAGACTTAAGCTTCGAACCCGCGCGATTTCAGGATCCGAGCATTTACCCTTTCGATCTCCTAGATAAGCCTGACCGTCATAGTTCACACCCTTATAAGGTATTGTCTGCTTTGGTCCCCTGATCTCACAGTTTTGTCCTACAAAAGATGCCTCACAAGGAAAAGATTGTATGAACCCTTATATACTCCAGTGACCCTATTTTTATGTTTGATGTGGGATTCAGGATTCCTCCTTAAGTCCGTGACATTTTCCTCCACCCAATCTCGTGACGCCCTCGTCATGGAGGCTGGCTATCCTGCCTACCTCTCTCGAGGCGCTTGACGTAGATCCAACGGTTTAGGGCTGGCTCTGATGCCACTTGTCACAGATTGAGACTTAAGCTCCGAGACCCGGGCATTTACCCTTTAGCCTCCCAATCAGCACCTGACTCACAACGGTTTATACCCTTGTGAAGGTTATCCGTCTGACCCCTTGATCTCACAATTTTATCCTACAAAAGGCACCTCACAAGGAAGAGATGGTATGAACCCTTATATACCCCAGTGACCCTCTTTTTATGTTCGATGTGGGATTCATGACTCCTCCTTAAGTCCGTGACATTAGTACATGCCTATTGAGATTAATTAAGTGATATTTATAGAAATAATTTTATAATTAATATATTTTTTAAAAAGCTGAGAATAATACAATATCAAGGAAAGAAAAATTCCCTTGCAAATTAAAATATTATTTTAACTAATCTTGACAAACATAACAAAATAATACAATAGAAATATATATAGATCCATTCCCTTAAGCAATGACACTACAAGCTAAAGGTGGTTGATGTTAAATTTGATAAGCATCTAATCTAAATATGAATAATAATAGGTTGAGAGACTCAATTTAAATATACAATCTTAATAAATTCAATATTTTTTTGATATGAAATAACGTTACTTTAATAAAAAAAATTTTACTTATCCTTTGAGGAATCAAGTTGTCAAAATCTAAAATTATGAACACAACAGTAAAATTAAGATTTTAAATTTTTTGAATATAAAATTAGTTCAATGATTTATGCATCATCCTTAGAAGATAAATTCCCAATATTGAGATTTAATGCTCGATTAAAAAGTTCCTCTTTCCTTATTCTCCCTAGACAGTTACCTTCTTTATTAAAAAAAAGGTTACTGTTTTGAATTCCTAGTTCCTATATGCATACAGAAACTTGGCTTGACAATGAATGAATCAAATATTAAGCATACATTACTCAAGCCCAACTCATGTAGGTTGATTCGATTACATCCTGTAGTAATTATTTGATTTACTTGTGTGTCAAAGGCAGACGCTTGCAAAAAGAAATGTGTTTTTCTTCTTCTTTTTCAAAAAATAACTTTTCATGAGATTTTTGAGATATGATTCACGTGTGAGTAAAAAATCTCACATTATTAAAAAATTTAAATGAGATATTTTATATATGCATAAAGGACCCAAGAACCTAATAACTTAAGTTTTTGGACTTAAGTGATGTCCAACATGTATGTATGGGCTCTCTGGTAGGCTCCCATGGGTTTCAAGTGTGGTTTATCTCTTCAACAAGTGGTATCAAAGCCAAAAGTCATGGGTTTGAATCCCAGTAGTGTTGCTGAAGGAGAAATTGTTTGTAGATCAGAGATTGGCTGTGTCCATCAATTTCATATACTCAAATATTGGTATTAAAAGAGATTGTTAACAGATCGAAGGTATTAAAGGTTCATCCATGTGCTCGAACGTCGGTATTAAAGGTTCATCAATGTGTTTGAACGCTGGTATTAAAGGTTCAACTTGGATACAATGAGTATATGATAGAAGCAAAACATCTAAGTAGACGATGTATTTAGTCAACTTGAAGTGTAAGCTTGAGAGAGTACTAAGACAACCTAGGTGCAAAGTTAAGTGCTGTGCCCTGACCCAAAAGTCCACTAGAGATATGATGTTGCCTAGCCCAAAGGAGGTGTTGAGACTAGATCATAACTCATAAGTGAACGAATGAGATTATTGTGATATGGTTTACATGTGAGTATGAGTGCTGTGGCTGACCCAAAAGTGTACTAGAGATGTGATGTTGCTTTAATCCAAAAAAGGTGTTAATAAGGACTTACTCGCACAGGAGAGCTAAGGTGAGACTGGATCATAACTCACAAGTGAACGAAGAATATTGTTGGGATATGAAATCCCACATCATTAGAAAATCTGAATGAGATGTCCTATATATGCATGAAGGACCCAAAAACTTAATAGCTTAAGCTTTTAGACTCAAATGATGTTAAACATATATGTATGGACTCTCTAGTGAGCTTTCATGGGTTTCAAGTGTGGTTTATCTCTCTAACAGAGACTATGTCCCAAGCCACCACGTAAAAATCCAAGTAACGATGTTGATTTTATTGATATTTGATAGAAAACTTGATTTTTTTATCTAAATAGGAATAAAAATAGATATTATATTATAAGTATGGAGATAGAAATTGATATAATTTTAAGTTTTTATTAAGTACGAAAATAAAAACAGATAACATAACACTCGTTCTGTACTTGTATCTTATATATATTTATATATATTTTTAATAAATAAATTTTTATTAAATAATATAAATTATTATTTTAAATTAATTAAAATTAATATATTTTTATTGAAAATATATATTAATATATATTTATAAAAAAATTACATAAACATATAAGATAAAAATAAAAAAGATTAAAAAAAGTTTTGTTTTTATTTTTTTAAAGGTTATGAGTATAGGAATTATTTATATCAATTAAATACTTATAAAGATAAAAAAAAAAGATAAATTTAAAATGTTCATTATATATGAGTACGAGAATGAATATTTAGACTTTTTTTTTATGCTTTTATGTTTTAGAATATTTAGAGCGAGTGGGAAAGTGTCTAATCATGTCTAGTACAATTATTATATTATAATAATTATTTAAAATTTAAAATTATATAATCCATTAAAATTTATATAAATTTAACATTTATAAATGACAGCTTTTTATATATTTTTTATTACGATTAAATAATTATGAGATTATAATTAAAAAATCATTGATGAAAATTTAAGTGGCTGATGGGCTATGCAGAGAGGAAAAAAAAACAGGGGAAACAGAGAGAATACAGAGAAGGTTGTCTTCTCTATGCTTCCTCTCGCTCCGCTCCCAATATAACCGCTGCTTTTTTTTCTCCTTTCTCATTAGATAAAGCAAAAGAAAGAGTAAAAAAACTTCTTTTTTTTATTAAATTATTCTTTTTCATCGTCATGATATAAATCACTTCACATTTTCCAAGGATTTGCAACCTCCTAAGTTTGTATTGCTCGAAGGAGTGACCTTTTTACAGAAGGGAAAAAAAGAGCGAAACCCCGAACTTCCTTCCATTATTGTTGTTCCATTCTACTCCATGATGCTTCATTTCACCTGCATTCTCTTCATATGCATCTTGGGTTCTGTCTCTTCTTTTGCCATAGCTGCCGTCAATCTTAGCCTCCCTCACCAGCACCCTGACCCTGAATCAGTTGTTCAAGATGTTCAAAGGTAAACCCTTCAAACTTTCCGGGGCTTTGGATTCTGGCTTCTGTCAGGATTTGTTTTTGAAAAGAAAAAGAGAAAAAAATCCCATTTTTTCATACCCATTTTAGAGTTTTTTAACCCAAAAGCCCTCTTTTTTTCCCTTTTTATTTTGAAGAATTTTGACCGAAGAAAATGTATCCCATTTTCTCATATACCACATTTTAATGAACAGAATACTCTGTTTATCTCCGCTGTTCCCTCAAAAAATCTGCCTGCATTTGCTCAAAATCTTTCCTTTGTTCCTTGTAGGAGATTAAATGTGTCCATATCAAGAAGACAAGCCCTGTCTGCAACTGAAAAAGACAAGGACCATTGCCTAACGGGAATCCCATAGATGATTGCTGGCGTTGTGACCCCAAGGGGTACAACAACCGCCAACGCTTAGCCGACTGCTCCATAGGCTTTGCACATGGCACTCTAGGTGGCAAAGGTGGCCGGATCTACACCGTCACCGATTCCTCTGACCGCGACGTTGTTAACCCCAAACCAGGCACTCTCCGCCATGCTGTCATCCAAAACGAACCACTTTGGATCGTCTTTTCAACCAACATGGTCATCAAACTGAAGCACGAGCTCATTTTCAACTCGTACAAAACTGTTGATGGCCGGGGCGCAAACGTTCATGTCACTGGAAATGGGTGTATAACTTTGCAGTATGTGTCTCATGTCATCATACATAACATCCATGTTCACCATTGTAAGCCTTCAGGGAACACTGACATTGCTTCATCTCCTACTCATGTTGGATGGAGAGGAAGATCAGATGGTGATGGGATTTCCATTTTTGGTTCTCAGAAGATCTGGATTGATCATTGCTCCCTTAGTTACTGCACCGATGGCCTGGTCGATGCCATTATGGGGTCCACTGGGATTACTATTAGTAATAGCTACTTTTCTCACCACGATGAAGTTATGCTTTTGGGCCATGATGACAGGTACTTTCATTTCACTGTCTACATTCTCAGTTTTTCAATTCCACCTGATTGTATCTATAAATTTGATAATTTAAAAAAAAAAAACATGGGTTAAAATTTTAGAAAAATTTACAAAAAAAAATTTTTTTTTTTTATTTGATAAATAATTTTTATATAAAACATGTCACGACTATATAAATTACCATTGTTTGATATTAATACACAAATTGATAGATATAATATTTACCGAGTGTCTGGGAGAATTATACTATGAATTTAAAAGTTCTAATTGTTAAGAGCTATTTCTTTTAGGTATTCGCCTGATTCAGGAATGCAGGTAACTATAGCTTTTAATCACTTCGGAGAAGCATTGGTGCAAAGAATGCCAAGGTGCCGGCGAGGGTATATACATGTGGTGAACAATGATTTTACTGCCTGGGAAATGTATGCTATTGGTGGTAGTGCTAACCCTACCATCAATAGTCAGGGGAATCGATATACTGCACCAGGGGACCCCAATGCTAAAGAGGTAACCGGTTTTTTTTTTTTTTTTAAATGGGTTAATGGTTTGAATAGTTTAAAATAAAATATTTAATGTGATATTTAAATTTTAAATTTTTTTATTTAATATTTGAATTATAAATTTATTTATTAATATGATTTTCATCTCTAAGATAAAAAATTTAAATGATAGCACATAATGTAAAAATAATCTTGCAAGAATTACATTAGTTAATATTCATAATTCAATAACACGTTAAAATTTTTGAAATGATTTCATTATAATTAATTTTATTTATTGGTTAATTTTTTAATGGTTTTTCTTTTAGATTTTGCCTAAAAGAGAATGGTAAATTTATGATTGATTAATGATTCTTGGTGGGTGTCTCCTGAACTCATTTAAGTTTTGCAAGTGTGGCTCATCCATGATCCCCACTCTCAATGGTGGCGCGTAGGATGTTGAGGCTGTCTAGGATTGGAGAGTCAGAGTAGTGATCAAGTTTTGACAGTGAGAAAAACATGATTAAAAGGGGTGTTGTTTAGTTTTGTAGAAGACAGCCTCCTCCTATGTCTTCCCTGATTGAATAGAGCCTACCATGTTGGGAGGCAGAAGCAGAAAGCATTGAAATCACAATTTTCTCAATCTTCAAGTTTTACCAAAGTCCCATTTGAATTCATTACACTCTATTTAGTTGGATTTGAGGGACCAAAATGAGAAAAATTTTAATGTTACACATTTAAAAGGTATCTAAAATTTCATTTGTTGCAAAATTTTTTTCAAAAGCATAAAAAAAAAAAAAAGCGTGGGACAACCCAATTTTTGCATTTAAAAGCCCAACAGGATGTCCATGCGAAAAATGTTTTACTTTCTTTTTAGTACTATTATCAGATAGGGGAGGCAATGCATGCCAGCCATTTATTGAGACTTGAAGCCATTTTTTTACGCTTTCCCTTTTAACTATTCTTTGTTGGACAAAAGTAAATATGATAATTCATATATTTTATTAGATAAAATATTTATGTTATATTTTATATTAAAATTATATATTAAAATTTATATAAATATTAAAAATATAAAATATTTTTTTTATTTTTATTAAATTTATTTATAATTTTTTAAAAAATGTTAATCCGTTTGTATCTCTTTTCATATAAATTGTGTTTTGATTCTTTAAAATTTAAAAATAAATAAATAATTTAATTTTTAAATCAAAATAAAATATAACATATTTAATAATTTAAAATAAATAATTATAAATTATACATTTAAAATGATACTCGTAAAAAAATTTTGTCTTCTATCACTATAGTCAAACAAGCAACAGCCTTTTATTTCTCGCACCATAGTACCTTGATGAACATGTATTTTAACTTGCCTTTTTAGGCGCGTGTACTGCAATCTCCTAACTGTGTGTATTTTGTAAACAGGTGACAAAGAGAGTGGAAACAGACGAGAAAGAATGGGCAGACTGGAACTGGAGGACAGATGGGGACATAATGGTAAATGGAGCATATTTTGTGCCCTCTGGAGCTGGCCTAAGTTCTCAGTATGCAAAAGCTGCCAGTGTGGAGCCCAAATCTGCTGCCCTCGTTCAACAGCTCACTTTGAACGCTGGCGTTTTTGGTGACGCTAGGTAAATATCTGAAATCTCAATATTGCCCTTTTTTGGATTTTAGCCTAATAACTGAATTACCTGTCACTTTTTTAAATTTTCATTGTTATAATTTGGGCTAGAAGTTTATTAGAATTTGCTTTAAAAAACTTTAGATTATGAAGAAGGGTAATATCTCTTAAATACAAAGATACCCATTATTACTTATTTCCTTATCAGATCATTTTTTGCATTAAGCCATTGCTTTCAACCCTATTAGACATAGTTCTAATGAAAACCCAATTTCAGCATTTAGTTAATGAGCGGTAAAATGCTTTCCTTTTCGGCCATTTTAGTGTTAAACAAGCCTTGCTGACTTGAGTTTAGAGACATTAAAACTATTCTTTTCAACTCGTGTTAAACGAATATATAATACGAAAAATTATAATATTATAAATTTTTTATATTTACGATTTTTATTAATTTTAAATAATATTATTTATATTTTTTTTTTCTATAAAATCATGTTTAAAATGATAAGGGTAGAGAAGTTATGTTCATTATAATTAATTAATTTCTGCCACTGTCTTTTAGACCTTTTCTTTTCATAGTTGCACGTGATCCTGCGTGTGTTGTGGTAATCGGCCTGCGATCAGTCTTGCTCTTGTTACGGTTAAGTTGTCCGAAGCCATGTGCTTTTCCAGCGCATAGGGATGGTCCCCCTTTTAGGGCAATTATGTAACAGTACCTTCTTTTAGGTGTATGTACCCTTTGATTCTTGTTTTTGACCACTGGATTCTCTTTGGTTAATGTGCTTATTCTTAACCATATTTCTTCTGAGATCAGTATTATACCTGATTTCTTTAATTGCCCTTTCTAAAGTCAACTATTGAAGATAAAAATTAAATTATAATTGACAGGATTTAATACGAAATAATTTTAGATATGATATTAAATTAATATAAAAAAATTATATGATTTATAAATTTTTTAAAAAATTATATATAAATTTAATAAAAATAAAAATAAATTTATATTTGACGTATTAATATCAATTATGATATAATTTTTTTTTATTTTATAAGTGTTCAACATAAAGTAATAACAAAATGAACACATGAATAAAAATCAAATACGTATACCTTGCACCAGTCTTTTGAATAAAAATAAAATGTAACATCTATTCTTTTCTGCTTGTTTGTTACTGACATAGTTTGATGGTCAATATTTTATCCCATTTATTATCATTTCTACATCTTTTCACCATACACATTGCAGTCACTCCTCCTTTAGTTCATTTCTATTTTTTTTTTACTTCAATTAGATAAAAGAAACGCTATAGTAAATATTAGTGACTGATTGTGTATTTCTTTTTCTTTTCACTCTATCAAAATGTTTTTCTTAGGTTTTCCATTGAGGATAGTTAGTAGAAATGCATTATTTTGAGATGACAATTCCATGAATGATTTATTTCTGTTGTGCATTCTTTTCAAACAAATTAGCACATAATAATCATTTATAACTATTTCTTCAGAAATGCTATTAGCATTTTACATACAAGTATCCAAGGTTGCAGTGTCTTTATCAAAAGGAATTTCCAAATCAGAAACCATGAACATGTGCACATGTGTGTAAACAAGAATAAAAATGAGAAAAAAGGGGGTTTAGTTTCAAGAGGTGGATTAAAGGGAAAACGGGTAGGCTTTTTTGTTTTGGATAACTGTAAGGAGACCCACCCAGGTCATCTTTTGGTGTTTTACTCTTGTACGGGGGGCAGGTGACTAAGTTGATATTCCCTTTTATATGCTTTCCAGCTAGTAACCAGTATCCAGTGTGTGCCCTATGTCAGATGTTGATGTAAACTGCACAGAACATATCACCTATAATTATTATAATATAATTAATAACTGTAATTTAATATTACGTAAGATTCATAAAAAATTATAGAAAGCATATATTTTTAGGTTGTTGACTCTTACATAATTTTTTGTTGTGCTTGAATAATTATAGGATTAAATAAATAGAATTGTAGGTGGAATGCTTATAGACTTGGACAAGCAGCTGTATTAGTAGGGGAAAAAGGAGGGGCTTTCCTCAGACTTATTGGCAATTTGCTGGGCCGTTTTCATTGCTTCTGTTATGCGTGTTACCTATTGCACCAACCTTTTTCCTAGTGGGTGTAAGCTGCATAGCTCGAACCGCAGCACTGTGGGTTTGACACAAGTTAGAGGTGGATGAACTATGAATCTGGTTGACAGGGTGGTTTTGGAACTGAGAATGAAGTTGAGGGTTAGAAGTAGGAGATTCTGAATTCTTGCCTTACGTTGGGTGTGAGATGAAATCCTTCAGTTTTGTTGATTGAGGTCAAGGGAAGTGTCTGTGAAGTTTAAATGCTTTCTTAAATCATTAGTCTTAGTATGAAAACATGTCTTAATTAAATAGGCTACAACCAAATCTTGACATGGAAATTCACATGATTTTTCTCTTCTTTTT